AGAAGAGGGAGGGAGGGATAAGAAGAGGGAGGGGCAATAAGATGAGGGCGGGGAATAAGAAGAGTGGAGGGCGGGGAATAAGAAGATGGGAGGGAGGGATAAGAAGAGGGGAGGGAGGGAATAAAAAGAGGGGAGGGAGGGAATAAAAAGAGGGGAGGGGGGAATAAAAAGAGGGGAGGGGGGAATAAGAAGAGGGGAGGGAGGGGAATAAGAAGAAGGGGCAGCTCTATAGGACAGGGGCCAAGACAGGGAGCTCTTTCACACTACGCGCGCGCACACACACACAATGCATCCCTATACATACACAGAAACACAACATGCTTCCCTTACACACAGAGAAACACACAATGCATCCATTACACACACACACACAATGCAACCCCTACACACAAAGACAATCCATCCTTTGCACATACACAGAAACAGACAATGCAAACCCGTGACACACGATGCAAACACACACACTTTTCTTACATACACACAGAAACACAATGCATCTCATGCACACACATACAGACACACACCTTGCATCCTTATGCATACAAACACAGATTCACACAAATGCATCCCTTACACACAACCAGAAACACATAATACATCCCTTATACACAAATACACACTTTCCACTACACACAAACACACCGCATCACCTGCACAAACTGGTAACCCTATACACCACATACCATAAGCACACATATTAGATCCTCTACAATAACACATAACACATCCCCTACACACTCCACTCCCTGTGAGCGAACTCATGGGTGGGTGGAACTTATGAGTGGGCCTTATGGGCATACTCACCGTCAGGCCCTGGGGCCCAGACCTTGAGCTGTGTAAGGGGCCCCAAAAAAATGGAGCTGCTTCCAATTCTCCCAGAACATTGAATTTTGTGACCACAGTTGCAAACAGCCTCCAGAGATCCTGTTCTACACCAGACCAGTGGAGCCAAACTGCAGCCCATCATCATCCTCATCTGCTTGTAAGTAGGCAATCTAGTATATTATTAGTGACACTAATCTATAATGTACCTCACATTAAAGGGATACTATAGCTTAATGAAGTGGTTCTGGTGTCTATAGCTGGTCCCTGCAGGCTTTTTAATGTAAACACACACTGTGTGCAGCACTGGCGTTAGTTCATATGGCAGGTCATATGGGTGGGGCATTGTGATGTGACATGTGGGGGCAGCAAATTTTTATTTTGTCTAGGGCGGCAAAAATCCTTGCACCGGCTCTGATCCTGGGCAGGTGCACCAGTCTACTTGACTGGTTTTGCCCCCCAGGCCTAAGGCTGCCAGCCCTCCCCTGGCCGCTGGGGAGGTCTTTTGGCGGCCGCTGGCGGACTTGTCCTGGCGGCCGCTGAGGGAGCTGGCGAGCTGCGCTGGCTCTGCTCCCCAGCACGCAGCTGAATGAGACCGGCGCCGGAATATGACGTCATATTCCGGCGCCAGTCTCATTCAGCAGCGCGGGAGGGCACTAACACAGGAAGCACCTCTAGTGACCGTCTGAGTGACTGTCACTAGCAGTGTCACTTTGAAGCAATGTAAACACTGCCTTTTGTCTGAAAAGTCAGTGTTTACGTTGAAAAGCCTGTAGGGACATGCTATAGACACCAGTACCACCACATTAAGCTGTGTGTGTGTATCAATGAGCTTGTGTGTGTCACTGAAATGTCAGTGAAATTGCCTGTGTCTGCATGTGCGTATGCTTACTGTATAATTAAACGTTTTACCCTGAAAGGACAAATTTTTTATATTAGAAAATGCAATATGTAATATGCGTGTAATATGTAAGGCTATGTCTTGCCAGGACAGATGATTGAGCAATATATATATATATATATATATATATTGCTCAATCATCTGTCCTGGCAAGACATAGCCTTACATATTACACGCATATTACATATTGCATTTTAATATGTAAGGCTATGTCTTGCCAGGACAGATGATTGAGCAATATATATATATATATATATATATATATTGCTCAATCATCTGTCCTGGCAAGACATAGCCTTACATATTACACGCGACAATATATGGCGCAGTGACTTATGGGGCTGGCACAAATTTTTTTTCCAGGGCTGCTTTGTATCCCCAGTCCGGCCCTGCAAAAAGGTAAGGATAGTATTAGACTAGTGACAGTTGCAGAAGAGGAATAAGTCAGGTACTATTAACAGTTTAATTGATACACTTTTATGAAGAAGTGGGTGTTTAACGATTTTTTGAAGGAGTGGGAGAGCATCTAACGGAGGAGGGAAGCGAGTTCCACAGGAATGGTGCAGCCCTCGAGAAATCTTGAAGGCGAGCATCAGAGGTGGGAGTACGGACAGAAGATAGACGTAAGTCTTCAGCAGATCGTAAGGGCCTAGATGGGACATACTTGTGTATTAGGGAGGATAGATAGGTGGGAGCAGCATTATGTAGAGATTTGAAAGCAAGAAACAGAATTTTAAATTGAGCTCTATATTTGATAGGAAGCCTATTGCCAACTACTCACTGTCAGCCAACCCTCGCTCATCTCACAAATATTACAAAAATGTACCATGGTTCTAAAATTATCATAATTTAAAAAAAATAATAATGATGATGGTGCCCATTTTTATAGGAAATGTTAGTGCTTTCTTTTTTTTCATAAAAAAAGAAAATTTGTGCTTTATTTGTCAGTCTATACTTTATCTGTCAGTCTGTGCTTTGTTTATCTGTCACATGGAGCGTAATTACTAGTGTTTACAACAATATATCCTAACCATAAGGGCATACATTAAAGCTGCTTGTTGTTAATACAATGTAGTTGTGTGAATCGATAAACTGGCATGACAGTGTGGTGCTTGTCATGCTAAGAACCAGCACTGTATCACCTAGAGGCATTGTTGTGTAATATCACAATGCTTCCAAAATATGGGATGTTCCTCACTTGCTCTGGAGTCTATGGGAAGGGTGCACCAAACATGTGCACCTGACCAATAGGGATCGATCACCTTTTTTGCGTTCTTTAAATGCTTAACCCTGAAACATACTGCTTTGGGGGCTTAAAGGAATGACTGGAACCTGAGACGAGCCAAAAAATCCCGGATGAAAGGTAAATATTTTGTATATATTTTGCAGTACACTGATAGGAGCATTGTCCCGCCATTTAGTTCACACATCTAGTGAGAAAATGTAACCAATACAGGGAAAAAGAGGAGAAGGAGAATTTAGTAATATATATATATACATATACATCCATCCATCGTAGTAGCTTGCACTCCAAAAAGACTTTTGTAGTGCCCGGTGCTGGTTGTGGCAAAGGTATTGTTGTGGAAAAGGTATTGCGATTGTTTCTACACCTATATATATATATATACATTATATAGAGATTATATTTTTTACTGTTCCTCCTCGTTTTCCCTCTGTTGGTTACTTTTTCTCCTTTAATGTACGAACCAGATGGCAGGATCAAACCATCACATGAATGAGTGTTGGACATCCCAAACAAAATGTTAATATTTGGAAAATTGTTTGGACAAACTGTTCAATCGAGCCGTGCACAGGTCTACTAATAACTGCATCATAGGTACTTGTTACTGCCACCTGGAGAAGACTGATATGCAAAATAAGACGCTCACTGTTGGTAAATGTTTGACACATTCTAAATTCCTGCATTTTTACTTAGACTACTGTGTGTCTGAATACACTAACCAATAACAAGTGCCTCAGTGTTGAAACCACAAATACTAAACTTTTCTTTATAGTGCAAAGTTATAATTCATATCTGAAAGTGCTGTTCTATTTACAGTGAGATGCTCATGGATTACATACTGGGGTGCTACAAATTTGCATTGTAAATTGTCACAAATTACCACTTTGAGAAAGCCGGTAATCTTTGGCGAAATGCATTCTTTTCATGGTTTTAATCTTTATTTTCAATACATGTAGTTATTTTTAATATTGGACCTTTCTGAATTATCCAGAAGATCCTGGGATTATATTCCTTTGTGGGGAACATACCACCTAAGCTATAAGGAATGAGCAAAACTCATTTTTGCTCTCCACTACTTATTAGTGATGTCCCGAATAGTTCGCCGAACGGTTCGCCGAACGGTTCGCCACGGACGGCAAACATATGACCCTGTACCTCACAGTCAGCAGGCACATTCCAGCCAATCAGCAGCAGACCCTCCCACCTCCTGGACAGTATCCATTTTGAAGCTGCATTCTTAGTGAGCTGTCCAGGAGGTGGTAGGGTCTGGGAGGGAGGGTCTGCTGCTGATTGGCTGGAATGTGTCTGCTGACTGTGAGGTACAGGGTCATATGTTCGCCGTCCGCGGCGAACTGTTCGGCGAACCGTTCGGGACATCACTACTGAGTATATTTATTTTTATCACCTATTTTTCTTTTACTACAGAGGGCACTAAATATATATATATATTTTTTTTATATATGGTGAATATCCTGATGACCCTTTGCTGCTGTACTCCTGTGCACTGACAAGCATAAATCTCGAATACCTTTAGCTAGTTAGCTCATACCACACCAGCTACCAAAACATCTGTCAACTGTACAGACTCCCACATGCAAGATTGAGATATTTCACAGATCCATAGGTGGGGATTATACCACCCAAGCGCATATATTTGGAGCTAATTATTAGCTCCAAAAAAGTGTAAGTGCTTTTTCTTTTATTTATCTCACCAGCCATCTGAAAACTCAATATTAAATTTTTTGTCCTCTCTTTTGCATATGTAATTTTCCCGATTGGATTTTGAGGATACTTCTAAGGTGCTGATTCCCTCTGTCCTTTTTCCACACCATCCATGACCATCCAGAAAGAAGAGACTCTGGTTTGTGTTGTTAAAGCTGCGTACAAGCACTACAAACGAGCGCTAAATACGTTACCTTTTGTACTATTTTTGTACTATTTTATTGGGAATTTTACTTTGTAGTAAGGACTCAGCAAAAGGAATATATGTTTTTTACGGAGAACAAAATTTACCAAATTTTTATCCTTTAAATTCTGATCACTTTGGCATGGGCAAGGTGCCTGCATGCTACTATGGATTTTGCAATGTACAATATACAATGTTTCTACCCAGTGTTTTTTGGGGTGGGTTGTAATGCATCATGAAGGCAATATTCTGCTCCCCTAAAAAAAACATGTTTGGTCATTCTGGGTTACACCAAACAGAGCAACAGAAAACCAGGTTGACAACCAAACTCTAGCAGCAGAGAAAATCAGACTAAGATGAAAATAAATCTATTCAAAAATACTAGCCCCAATATAAGAGGGATGGAAAAGGAGATTCCTTCTTAATGCTCTCCCATTAGAACCATGATTCCAACCACCGATATTTCCATGTAATGTATTCATCTCATATGGGTCTCTACTACTAGTGTGCAGAAAATCTTTAACTTGCTTAAGTGTCCCCCCACTATATTACTGAAGATTACTAGAAATTGACTCTGCCTTTCTTGGTTCCAGAGTCTACGTATAGTAAGAATATATATTTTGGTATAAAGCCTTTGCAGGTTTGGTAATTAAAATTTCCAAATGCGATCCTGCTGACGAACAATGTACCCTTAGCATTTTGAAGTTTTTCTAATTTAAGTATCTTAGCTAGTGTATGTTCCATGAAATGTCACTAAAGTTAAACAGATCTCCAAAATACTACTCAACTCTGTCATAAATGCCCCATGGGGTATGCACAAAACAGTCTGTGAAATTGAGGTATAAATTGTATCTTCCCCTCCTCCATCCATGCAGAATTCACAAAAAGAGATAAAAATTAAAATGCAAAGAAATATTGTCCCTCTTCATACATAAATATGCAATTGAACATCACCTCAGAATGATAGACTGCAAAAAGGTAAAAAGGAACATGGGAGATAAATATATTGTTTGCGAATAGTTCCAGTGTCCTAATGAAAATAATTATCAAGGATCACCGAGTTCCCTTAATAAAAAGCTTGTTCGAATTGTCACACCCATTTGTTTGATTATTACGCATAATTATGCATGTTTTACTAATCCAATAGTCATCCACAAGATCTATAAAGATGAAAAACATACCAATAAGACACTAAACCCTTAATTACGCTAATGTATGTATAGAAGATTGTTCTTTTCTTACTCCCTTCTCTTTCCATTTTTTTTTTTACTTCTTCTAATTCTTTTGGGCTCAGTGTAGGAGCTGAGGCATCAAATCTATGGCAGAGCACTTAAACAGCTGCAGGAAATTTGTTTTACAAGGCTGGTTTTAACTGAACTACCTGCTGTGCTCCTCATTGCTATTGTTTGTGAAATGAATGATGGGAAAAGCAAGTCTGTGATTTCATTTGTTCAGACCGATTAGTCACACGTTGCACACAGTATCATTTGCTTGTCACTTAATGATTGTCCACCCTGCCTGAATCATTAGTGCTGTAGTGAAATGAAAGGAAGACATAAGCATAATGAAGTAGATGGAAGAAGCGGGGTGCTGTTTTACCTAAAAGAAATGGTGCGCGGAGATCCAGCACAGCTGCAGGTGTTCCGATGACAATGTAGGAAGCAGTTAGCTTCCAATTTAGCAGAAAATTAAGAACGAAAAAACTGTTATTTGTGAGAAAAGATACTCATCGTAAGCAATCATCCATGCTCTGTATCCACAAGATGAGCATTCAGCTGTCTTAGTCGTGACTTAAAACAATTGGTATTTTGGGCTGCATTCAACACCAGATTGGTACTTATTATCTACAGTTTATTCTTTCTTGGGATATTTTGTTTCTGTCCTCGAAACCCCTCCTTCCTTTTATTTTTATGGTTAATTTACTTGCATGAATGTAAAGTCATTTATGCTGAAAAATTTGGATCGCATCTCATTTACTGTTAGCTCGGTTGTGTGATACGACATAATGGATGCATTTTAACTTACAATTTGATTGTGTTTACCTCGAGCACAACAATAAAAATAATTTAAAAA